TCATGCATTGTGTTTGGTAGGTGCCTCTCTTCAGCTCCTCTTAATCTGGAAGAGCCCATTAGCCTTTCTCTCTTTCACAAATAAGCAGTCAAGGGTACAATTGAGTTGTTGTGTATAATGTCCCTTAATTTAGGCAGAAAAGCTCGTAACACTCTTTAACTACAATTCCACGGATTTTACCAGTTCAATCCCTCTTGTCTTCAAGAACTAGAATTGCCTTTATAGGAGAAGAGAAGTTGAACTGTTAAACCTTGAAAGTATATATAAAGAATATTATTCTCTCAGAAGATTCAGAGAGGTCTCAATGGTGAATGAAATTAGTTAAATGACAGTATCAGATTTAAGCTAGCCAAAAAGAGAACCCGTGGCTACATTAATCTAGCATCAAAACATAGTGCTAAGGGAATCTCTAGTGATCTCTAAGTTTGGGTTTATTTTCTTTTACTTAAATTTTTTCTACTTTAAAAAATAGCACCTAGCTGGCTCAAGTATGTGACTCTTGATCTCAGGGTTGTGAGTTCAAGCCCCACGTTGGCATGGAGCCTACTTAAAAAATATTTTTTAGGGGCACCTGGATGGCTCAGTCGGTTAAGTGTCCGACTTCAGCTCAGGTCAGGATCTAACGGTTTGTGGGTTTGAGCCCCGTGTCGGGCTCTGTGCTGACAGCTAGCTCAGAGCCTGGAGCCTGCTTCGGATTCTGTATCTTCCTCTCTCTCTGACCCTCCCCTGCTCATGCTGTCTCTCTGTCTCAGAAATAAATAAAAAACATTAAAAAAGTTTTTTAAATTAATACATAAAAGTATTTTTTATTATGAGAAGTTTGGAAAAAATTGTTGTCAATATATTAGATTCTCTGTAGCCATTAAATAATAATGCAAATGTATATTTAATGAAATATGTCCATCATATATGAAATGGCAAAGCAAACTCTAAAATATCTTGTACAATACAGTATAATCCCCCGCCCCCCCCCCCCCGGCTTTTTAAAAATGTTTATTTATCTTGAGAGCAAGAGCTAGAGCTAGAGAGAGCAGGGGAGAGTCAGGGAAGAGGGAGACAGAGGATCTGAAGCAGGCTTTGCGCTGACAGCAGAGAGCCTGATATGGGGCTCGAACTCATGAGCCATAAGATCATGACCTGAGCTGAAGTCAGATGTTTAATCGACTGAGCCACCAAGACATCCTTATAATCCCCCCCTTTTTAAATAATGCATATAAGTGTGTGTGTGGCAGTTGAAAAAATCTGAAAAAAATATACTGAAATATCACTAGTGATGGATGGCCTCCAGGCAAGACTAGAATTGTGAATTTTTATATCAATTATCACTTCATTAAACAGGAAAAATAAAGCTATTTTCATTGCAAGAAGAAGCAAATATCTTCTTTTCATTTTCCCTTTTATCAGTGAATATTAAGCACTGCCAAAAATGTGTGGAACAATGATATGAAATTGTTATTGGAGACATTATTGATAATATCCAAGATCAGAATTTCACTAAAGATAATAGGGAAGAAAGCCATACCAACAGTGTGTTTGAATGTGGAATTATGTCACTGGGGTAAGAATCTGAGAAGTAGGTGCCTAGGGGTCTCGATAGGTTAGGGGTCCCACTCTTGATTTTGGCTCAAGTCATGATTTTGCAGTTAGTGAGACCAAGACTGCATCAGGCTCTGTGCCCATGGCTCTGTGCATCTCCACCCCCCCTCTTTTTTTTTTTCCTCTCTCTCTCTCAAAATAAATAAATAAACATTAAAAAAAGAATCTGAAAAATAAAACAGAGTATGGGTCTTTTACTTGAGAATGGTATGCTGTGGGAAATTTTTTGGATGGATGGGTAGAAGGATGAATGGAGAGATGGATGGATGGATGTGTAGAAGATGGATGGATAGATGCATGGATGAATGCATGTATATGTAGATGGGTGGGTGGATGGATGGATGGATGGATGGATGGATGAGTAGGTGGGTGGATGGGTGGGAAGGTGGATGGGTAGGTGGGTGGATGGGTGAGTGGATGGTGGATGGATGAAGGACAGATGGATGGATGGACAGATGGACTTAAATATGTGTGAATATGCATGACATACCATTCCGTAAATAGCCTGAGGTGGCTGGAAAGAGAAATGGTCTGCTAGATTGATCCTAGGTTTTCATCGTTTAGTATTTACACTCAACTTTCACAATAACTGTACATATTTCAAGTTATTACACTGTCTTAAGAAAGAGAAGGGAGACGTTCAGGGCTCTGCTACTACTCCAGTCCCTGCCCAAGCAATAGCCCTATGCTGGCAACAAAGAGTAGATGAAGGCCTGGTTAAGAGAGATAACCACCACTATTTGAGGAAGTCTTAACCTCTGGAGGAGCTGTGGGGGCCCCTGCAAAATCCAGAAAAATGCATACCCAATTCTGGCTAAATTCCAGGAGACTGTTGAGCCTCCAGAATCCTATCCATTAATTTCACTGAGGTTCACCAAATCCATGTTGAGAACTCTCAAGCTAACATGTAGCAAGATATGACCGGGCCTGGCAGTGACAGGCAGAACTGACCATAAAATCTACAGAGAGCAGGCCTTTGTATTTCTATTTGACACAGGGGACCTTCCTGCCCTGAATGCAGCTGAAGCAAACAGGCGCTTCGAATTAGGAAGGAAGGCCATGGAAGTTAGTATATTTTTCTGCTTAATACTTCGAGTTAAAACAATGCCTTTCAAAACAAATAATTCACCACAGTCCCAAGTGGTGAATCAAGGACAAGAATCCCCGATTCCTTACAAAGAAAAAAAAAGAAAGACAACTGAGCATGCATTTATTTATTCAACAAATTTATACTGAGTTTCCACTATACACCAGGCCTTCTTCCAGGAGCTAGACACATAACAAGGAACAAAACAGCCAAAGTGCCTGCCACATGGAACTTGTTTTCTTGTTGCGATGGGGGGAGGAAGACAATAAACAAGTAAACAAGCAATTATATGATATAATGTCACAGTGTGGTAAGTGCCAGAAAGAGAAATAGAGCGAGGGAAAGAGAAGAAGAGCCGGGGGAAGGTTTTATGACAGAGGAGAGTGAGGGAAGACTTGGCTGAGAAAAAGGCGCTTGAACAGATGCCGGAATGGAATGAAGGAGCGAGCCATGCAAGCATCTGGGGAAAGAGTTTTCCAGGAAAACAGAACAGGAAATGCAAAAGGCCCGGAGGGAATGCGCTCCATGTGTGAGGAACAGCTAGGAGGCCACCGTGGCTGGAGGGAGGTGAACAAGGGAGACAGTGGAACGAAGCCTCGGAGCTGTCCTGGAGTCAAACCAAGTAAAGGCTTGGAGGCCACAGGAGGGGCTTCGGACTGTCCTCTAAGAGTCATGGGAAGCCACTGGAAGGAGACTTCTCAGAAGGGCAGTATCACGATCTGACTTGTATTGTATGACAGGTCACTCTATCTGCTATGTTGAAGAGACAGCACTGGGTGCCTGGGTGGCTCAGTCGGTGAAGTATCTGACTTTGGCTCAGGTCTTGACCTCACGGTTTGTGAGTTTGAGCCCCACATCAGGCTCTGTGCCGACAGTTTCAGATTCTGTCTCCCTCTTTCTCTGCCCCTGCCCCACTCACACTCTGTCTCTCTCTCAAAAATGAACATTAAGGAAAAAGAAAGAAAGAGAAGACACAGCAGGAGGATGAGAGTGAAAGCAGAGAAGAGAAAAGCGAATGCTTATTTGTCCCTTTCCACAAGGCACCAGTGATTTTTGGTGGCCCTGGAGAAGAGAACATAGATATAAGATTATTGGATCGAACTGAGTCCTTTAGACCAGTTCTACCATATGTCACCAATATCCTGGAAATGAGACAGTAATCACCCACCTAATGTTAGCTGGGATATTGTGATTTGTAATAGTATATATTTGGTCTTTGTCCCCATTTCTGGCACAGAGCTTGGAATTTCCTGGTTAACGAGGGTGACAGCAGCATCTTTGGTTTTTAACAAGGTGTCTTCAGGACTGAACCTAAGGATGGGGGCTAGTTACCTGGGGAACCAACCATGTGACCAGAACCTTGGAACTTTCAGTTCCCGTGCAGCCTGGTCTCTGGAGAAAGGAGAGGGCTTGCAGATTGAATCAATCTCCAGTGGTCAGTAACTTAAGAATAACAATTTTTTTTTCTGAGAGAGAGATACACAGCGTAGGCAAGGGAGGATCAGAGACAGAGGGAGATACAGAATCCGAAGCAGGCTCCAGGCTCTGAGCTAGTTGTCAGCACAGAGCCCGACACAGGGCTCAAACCCACGAACCGTGAGATCGTGACCTGAGCCAAAATCAAGAGTTGAACGCTTGACCGACTGAGCCATCTGGGCGCTCCTCCAATGGCCAGTAATTTAGTCAACTGTTCCTTTGTAATCAAGCCTCCATGAAAACCCAAAAGGACAAGGTTCGAAGAATTTCTGCTTTGGTGAACACATGGGATTTGGGGGGAGTGGCCTGCTCTAGAGAGATCATGGAAATTCCACATCCTCCTTGCCCCATACCTTGCCCTGTGTATCTCTTGCATCTGACTGCTCCTCGTTATATTCTTTTATAATAAACCAGTAATCTAGTAAGTAAAGTGTTTCTTTGAGTTCTGTGAGCTCCTCTCACAGCCCTGTGAACTGACTTGTAAATTAATCAAACCCAAGTTGAGGGTCTTGGGAACCTCCAATCTATAGCTGGCCAGTCTGAGGCCCAGGTGACAAACTGACTTGTAATTGGAATCTGATGTGGGGAGGTAGGGAACAGTCTTGTAGGACTGAACCCTTAACCTGTGGAATATGACACTCTCTCCAGGTAGTCTCTGTCAGAATTGAATTGAATTGTAGAACACCCAGCTGGTATCTGAGAACTGCTTGGTGGTGTGTGAGGCGGCAGATGTGGCCCAATACCTCCTTGTTAAAAAACAAACAATATTGCATTCTAACATCTAAAGGATTTACGGATCATGGCCTCCATCATACTTCCATTAATTCACTCATCTGGCTCCTGTAGAATGAATCTGGAAGATGATGTAGGCTACTGCACACTGAACCAAGTAGGAGCCTGATCACAGCTGCCAGGCCAGATGCAGTATCTCAGGCAGAGGATATTAACATGGCGTCAGGCATGTAGACTGTAGAGGATCTATCAATAGACATTCATAGACATGGTGCTTCTGTTAGACACGTGTACCCAGCAATATCAGTTGCACAGATGATAATCTAGCTTGACTTCTGAGACAAATCTCGATGCTGGAGGCCTAAACCAGTAATACACCACTTTGGAAAGGTAGCTTAGACAACAGCTGAAGTCTCTTTCTTCTTCCAGTCTGTATGAGTATTAAGACATCTTTCCATCAGGGAAAGACAAATCAAAACCACAATGAGATACTACCTCACACCAGTCAGAATGGCTAAAATCAACAACTCAGGCAACAACAGATGTTGGCAAGGATGCAGAGAAAGAGGCTCTTTTTCACACTGCTGGTGGGAATGCAAACTGGTATAGCTGCTCTGGAAAACAGTATGGAATTTCCTCAAGAAATTAAAAATAGAACTATCTTATGATCCAGCAATTGCGCTACTAGTTATTTATCCAAGAGATACAGGTGTGCTGTTTCGAAGGGCTACATGCACTTCAATGTTTATAGTGGCGCTATTGACAATAGCCAAAGTATGGAAAGAGCCCAAATGTCCACTGACAGATGAATGGATAAGGAAGATGTGGGGTATATATACATATATATGTATATGTATATATGTGTGTGTATATACATATATATGTATATGTATATATGTGTGTGTATATACATATATATGTATATGTATATATACACACATACAATGGAGTATTGCTTGGCAATCAAAAAGAATGAAATTTTGTCATTTGCAACTATTTGGATGAAACTAGAGGGTATCATGCTAAGCAAAATTAGTCAGAAAAGGACAAATATCATATGACTTCACTCATATGTGGAAATTAAGATTCCAAACAGATGAACACAAGGGAAGGGAAGCAAAAATAATATAAAAACTAGGAGGGAGAGAAAACATAAGAGATTCTTAAATAGAGAGAACAAACTGAGCGGTGGGGGGAAGGGCTAAATGGGCAAGATGCATTAAGGAAGACTCTTGCTGGAAGGAGCACTGGGTGTTATACACAGGGGATGAATCCGTGGAATCTGCTGAAATCATTATTGCACTATATGTTAACTAACTTGGAAAAAAATATCATAAATTCCATAGATCAAGCTTGTACACTTGATCATTTTATATTACTTTTGTAAATATTCTTGTCCATATTCTACTTCAGCTTTAAATGTGGTTACCAAGTGTCTAACCCCTGAATTTCTAGACAGTATTGCCCTCTCTCCGAACATTCACTTACCCTAGAAAGCCCTCATGTTCCAACCACGACCCTTGTGCTAATGTTGTATAGACCATTTGTAAGTATCCCAGACAACAGTCACTGTTCTTAAAGCACTCTGAAAATATTTCTATGTAAATTATTTTAAATGATGTCAATGGTTGGGACAATGGAAATTGATTTTGATTTTTGCAAATGTGTTCTTTTCTATCCTAATCAGAAAGGAAGGATCAGAAACCATTTGAATTCACATGTAATAGACAATATACATTTATAGTTTTCCCTCAGCGTTATATACATTTTGTAAAATTTATTTATTTATTTGGGGGGAGGTGGAGAGAGAGAATCCCAATCAGGCTTCTTGCTGTCAGTGCGCAGCCTGACACAGGACTCGAACTCATGAACCAGGAGATTACAACCTGAGCCGAACTCAAGAGTCAGATGCTTAACCAACAGAGCCACCCAGGCATCTCCTCTTCAACATTATATTAACTCTCCTTCTTTCTGTCACAATATAGTCCAAAGAAATCTGGACCATCTTGACAGACCACAGATCATCCCATTGATCTCTTACACTGGTGACATTGTGTTGATTGGCCTGGATGGCATCAGAGGCTATGGTAAGATACAAGCGCTCCAGAGGGTAGGGGAGAAACCGTGTGAAGATTTATGGCTTGTCATATTTGTATTTGAAGGGGTATTTCACCTTGTATCTCCTACCATGAAGAAGGAAACCAGTACCTTCTGGGCCTCTTTGGCTCCCAAAGGCAGCACATTGCACCCCTAGAGGTAAGGCTTTGACCCAAATACTGAGTGACACAAAAGGCTGCAAGCCTTCACTGAGGCTCAGGTCTGCATCAAGTCCAAGTGGTAGTGCCAGCAGCCCTGCAATCAGGCATGTGATCTGTCAGACCCCATGGTGTCAGAGACACAAAGTGGTGCAAGTCCCAGTGGAGAATCCCAGCACAGGCTACCTTCTCCAAGTATGGCCTCTGACCTGTTCTCAAGTTGTACCTTCTACAGGCTCTTCCAACACTCCCTCCTCATGACAGTTTCTGGCAGAATGGCATGTGAGAGGATGACCACAGACCCAGTCCCACATCTCCTATGTGGTAAACTGAGTCCCCAGTCTGAGGCAAAGTCACGTGGGATCCCATACGAGGAACTTAAACTCGTGGTAAGCCCACAGAGAGTGGTTCTGGCTGAGGCTCAGAATGCAGAGAAAGGCAAACTCAGGCTCAGAATGTACTTATTCCTGAGAATAAACTGCTGGCATTTCCAGGATCAAAGGGACCCCAGTACAGTCAACCTCTTCCGTAGGGTCTGTTGCTGGCAGTTGGACATTCATCAGTTGGCAGTCTTGGTAAGCGGAAATCGATAATGCTTGTTCCTTGCCTAGTCTCCATTCCCAATACCATGGCCACTTGATTTCATGTGTCTATCATGCCAGCACTGAAATGGCCAATGACTGGGGCTGTCAGTCAACTGACCAGGTCATTCTGTCTACTTGGTTGTCTAGTTTCTCTTCTGTAGATCCTCTCTGAGACATGTTGACATTTGATACGTTTCATGCCCACTCCTGTACGTCTATTCATATGCGCCCATGCCAGACCTCCTTGTCTGCAACCTTCCAATCTTCATTTTCCTTCCAGACCTCTGGTCAACTGGCCAGGCCATTTGCCACTGCCCATGAGTTCACATATATTCTAACCTCAGGCTACTTCCCTTCTGCACAATGTGCATCCCTCAAAGCTCTACCCACTAGGAGGATTTTCCCCTGCCATTGTCTTTTAAGGCTGCTGAGGGATCTGTAGAAAAGATACCATGCATTTTTAGTTTGCACGCACCTGCAGGGTGGACTGGTTTGCAAAACAAAGTTGACCCATTTCTCATTCTTTGGTTGCTCATGCAGAATGCCCCATACAGCCTTGAGCATGAGCAGAGGAGGGGCACTGAGGAAACAGTGGTTGGGATCGGGGATGGGGTCTGGGATATACTTGTACCCTCTGGTCCTGTTTATTCTCAACTCTGGATGTAGCACCTTCATTTCATGATGGATTCCTGCTAGGACCCCCTTATTTATGACTTGGTTGATCTGCCCCAGTTCATGATGAGAAGTTTCACTGCATGATGGCTTGGTGATCACTGACAGGCCTTCTGTCTCAGCAAGAGCTTTACAGCATGGCAGGAGTCATTTTTTAAAGGCATGTGATTCTCTACTGCAGATAGCACAGCCTTGCCCTCAATTCACAAGGCCCTGAATCGTAATCCCTCTTTGGGTCTTGCCAGCATCTTTCCTGCCGCTGACAGACCCAACATCATGGGGTCTGCAGGGTCATATGGCTTGAGTGACAGGGCTGCTCAGTCCTTACCCCGGACCTGATGCAGGGCACTTTCCTGCACAAGAGCCCACCAAACCTGGCAGTCTCACAGGTCACTGAGTATAAGAATTGCAGCAATTGCCTAAAAGTACACATGCCTTCAAGTTTTCATCATTTTTGATGGGCATGATAATGAAGGTAGTTAAAACCTGGAAGACCCAGCAGAAACATTTCAATTTGCATGTAGAGACCAAGCCTGGGTGAATAAAAGCTAGAGAATACAAACCCCAAAGCCATCTAGGATCTTTTCCTTCTGTGGCATGCAAATATCCAACTTTCTAGTTGATTAGCCAGGCATGAGAGTTCTACCTTGAAAATAAAAAAAGTGCATCCTGTGTCCTCCTGTCTTGATCTCAAATGGGTTCCTGTCAGATATTAATACACTGCATTTTTTTAAGCAGAAGAAGTGGGGAAAGCAAATGATTTTCTCAAAGGCTCAGAATGGTACAATACTCCATTTCCTCACACCACATGCCCAGAAAAGACCCCTGAGTGTCTATCTGGTTGAGATGCATAAAGTTTTCACTGACTCAAGTCTAGCACAAAGGTCCCAGTAATAATCCAGTGTCCTAATTGTTCTACTATAAATAAAAGCTTAGTGCTTATTTGTGTTTATCTTAGGGGAATCCACTTTGGGAAATGTTTAGAAAAGTTCAAGCTTGCCTAACCTCATTTTTCTGTTACATGTCTTTAGCATAAGATTCAAATTCACCATGTTATCACAAGATAAATAATACTGCCGGCTATAATTTATTAGTGTTTATTATTATTTACTACTACAATATTATGCAAAGCATAATCATATTTAATTTGCTAGAAAAATCTAATAAAGTAAGGTTGTATGAGGGGTCTGCAAGGCCATTCCCAGGCTTAATGATTTGCTAAGAAAACTCACGAGTCTCCATATATTTGCACTCATGGCTACGGTTTATAACAGTAAGTAGATGCAAAGAAAAATCGGCGTAGGGAAAAGTCGCATGGGGTGTAGTTTGGAGGAAACCATGAGCTTCCAAGAATCTTCTAGTACAGTCACCGAGGGCATGTTTAATTCTTTCAGTAATGAGTTGTGATAATGCATGGATGACACTGTCTCCCACAAAAGCTCATTAGAAGACTCCGTGTCCAAGATTTTTCTGGGGGCTGCTCACACTGGCACTCTCTGCTACACAGATACTCAGATTCCAGACTCCCAGAAGGAAACCAGGTGTGCAGCATAAACTATATCATTTGCACAATTTCAGCACAGTGAACGACTCTTTAATAAGACCATAGTGGGAACCCTTCCCAAACCCAACTTTCCAGGTGCCAACCCAGGGCCAACTTTGTGAGCAGGGCTTTCAAAGGATGGCCTCAGTGCTACATCTGTCTATACCATGTCTTTTAATCCTTTTCTGTACACAGGCATTATTAGCCTCCTTAAAATATATTTTACATGTTTACATTTTGTATTTTTCTATTCTATTCTACTTGTGTTATATATATATTCAGAATATTTATATTATAGGGGTGGCTAGGTGGCTCAGTTGATTAAGCATCCAACTCTTGATTTCAGCTCAGGTCTTGATCTCATAACTCGTGAGTTCAAACCGTGCATCGGGCTCTGTACTGACAGCACAGAGCCTGCTTGGGATCCTTTCTCTCTCTCTGTCTCTCTCTCATTGCCCCTCCCTCACTCACATGCATGCTCTCTCTTTCAAAATAAATAAACTTAAAAAAATTTTTTTAAATTTTTTTTTGGTTTTTTAAATTTTTTAAATTTTTATTTTTTATGTTTTTAAAATTTATTATTGAGACAGAAAGAAACAGTTCATGAGTGGGGGAGGGGCAGAGAGTGAGAGGGAGACACAGAATCTGAAACAGGCTCCAGACTCTAAGCTGTCAGCACAGAACCTGATGCAGGGCTCAAACCCACAAACTGCGAGGTCATGACTGTAGCTGAAGTCAGATGCTTATATTTTTATATTTCAATGTATTATCCACTTTTAAAAGATGTAAAACTGAAACTCAAACATGTTAATATCTTGCTCAGGACCATACAGATCCTATATGGCAAAAGCCAGTATCTAAACCACAGTATATCTGCCTCTAGAAACCATGAAGTTTACTACTACATTGTAATGTCTCAAATCATAGCCTCTAACATATGCAACATATATTTTATATCAAGATTATCTTACTACATACAGATTCCTCTATGAATCAATTCTTCCACTGGTGATTATAGCTGCTATGAATCTACAGACGGAGGACGAAAAGGAACAGGTTTGAGTCTCAGTATTTCTCATTTTAAAAGATGCTTGAGAATTTCTGCTGTTCAGGACTGTATCTAATAAGCTTGGAAGGGGCCACTCCATCCTAACAAAAAATGAAAAGCCGAGCAAACTGAATCAATTCTTTTTAGATTCCTTAGAGAAGGGAAGTCGCTGCGCAGACTGGTGAGCTTTCAAGAATCTTCTAGTACAGTCACACAGGACAGGTTTCATTCTTTCAGTAATGAGTTGTGACAATGCATGTAAGATATTGTCTCCCCAGAAAGCTCATTAGAAGACTCAGTGCCCAAGATTTTCCTCATATAGGCAGTCTATGCTTAGCCCTCAAATTGGAGAGAATGACAGGTCGATACAGAGAACTTACCAAAGCAGAAACTTCCATGGGAATCGGTGTCAGGGTAGGGAAACCTGAACTGTCATTGATGAATTACTAGAGGCTCAGCATGAACAAGTCCAAGAGATAAAAACTTGAGGGAACTCAGTTATCAGGAGGATCCCCATGCTTCTGTGTGTTATGTCCTGGAGCTCTACCAGACAGAGGGAGGAAAAAAAGAAATGATTTTGACATATGTTCGATCATTTCCTTCTTAACGAGGTCTGCCCTCAGGATAAACTCTTGACCAGAGCCTGACCTGCTGGGGTTTTATCAGAGCCCAAGTGACTTGGGTAAGGGAAATATCCAATTCCAGCCAGCTCTAGCTTTCCAAATGGGAGAGAAGAAATACCAGCTCCAAGCAGTCCTGGCCCACCCAAAGGGAGGAGAAAAAAAAAAGAGAAACACTTGCGAAGTTCACAGTCCAAAGGCACAGGCTCCCTTAAGGCCCGAGAACTAATCGCGGCAATTACAGGATGCTTCCCCTCCCCCACCTCACTATTAAAAGTAAATGGATGGGGGGCGCCTGGGTGGCTTAGTCGGTTAAGCGTCCGACTTTCGCTTAGGTCATGATCTCACGGTTCGTGGGTTCGAGCCCCGCGTCGGGCTCTGTGCTGACTGCCAGCTCAGAGCCTGGAGCCTGTTTCAGAGTCTGTGACTCCCTCTCTCTCTGACACTCCCCTGTTCACTCTGTCTCTCTCTATCCTAGAAATAAAATTTAAAAAATATTAAAAAATAAAAAAAAATAAAAAAAATAAAAGTAAATGGATGGGACAAACAAAAGAAAAACAGACTCAGATACAGAGAACAAACTGGTGGTTGCCGGGGTGAGGGCACGGGTGACATAGATAAAAGGGATTAAGAGGCACAAACTTCCAGTTATGAAATAAATGAGTCATGGAAATGGAAAGTCCAGCACAGGGAATACAGTCAATAATATTGGTCAAAATGGATGAAGAAATAACATAGGTGTATTTGTGAGTCTCTTGACACAAAAGTAAGGCCCACCCATGAAAACAGGTTATCTACCCTCTTTGTATTAAAGCACAACTTTAAAAACATTTTAGATGTCTTCTAAAAATAATAATGAATAAATATACGCTAATCTACTTTTACAGGGGAGAGAGACCACTTGGTAGTGGTCTACACCATGGTGTTTGCTCTTCAACCTTCCAGCCTTTGATTTGCAAAGCAGAAAGCTATCTTCTTACAGGGCATTATTTACATGTCCACACAACAAATACTTTGATCAACTACCCAGTCCTAACACAATGAGGAATCATTCATGATTCATCTCGGTCATACGTGTTTCCGATCAAATCATAGAAGATTTATATAGAAGAAATCGGGTTTAGACTGAAGGAAGGAAGTCAGTGGTTACTTGAGTCACCCTGACCCATATGCCCTTCCTTTGTCTCCCTGAACAATGCCTTTATGACCAAAATGTCACTCTGAGCCTTGCTGAAAATTTCAGCTCTATAAATTTACAAATGAATGAGCTTGAGCAAGCTATTGTAACTTTCTGGATCTTAGTGTCCTCATTTGTAAAGTGGGGATAAGAATAATATGTTTCTCATGAAGTGACTCTAAGGACAACATGATATAATGCATGTAAAACTCTTGGCACACTGCCTGATGTTAAAAAAAATACTCAATTTTATTTCTTTCTCACTATAATCACAAGGGCCTTAAGTGATCTTTAGGAATTTTTTTTGAAATCTATGTCAACTATTAGAACAGACACCTTTTCTCTCTCTCTCCCTCTCTCTTTTTCCCTTCCTTTCTTCCTTCCTTCCTTTCATTCCTTCTTTCTTTCTTTTCTTCCTTTCTTCCTTTCTTTCCTTTCTTTTCTTTCTTTCCTCTCTCTCATTTTTTTACCAGGAGCATTTATGTAATGTTAGCATTATTCTTATCTAAGGGGACCAGATATTAGTAAAGCCACGGAAAAATCCAAATGGGACCTTTGGTGCCAAATGTTGAGAGTGCTGGGATCCATCTGGGACTTTTCCAGGGCTCATGAGCAAGAGCTGAATATCACAAGATGCCAGCCGGCAGGAAAGGGAGCGCCAGCTGAGACGGGGAGATAATCTTGGAGCTAGGAGCACAGACTGCATTCGCTAGCACTTTCTTGTAATCTTTCCTGATAAACTTTTGCTTATTTGACATGTGGGTTGCTAAGGTGTGCTAAGGTGATGAGATGATGGGAGGGAATTGTGCAACAGATGGTCCTCATAGGTTCTTTTTTTTTTTTTTTTACATGTTTATTTATTTTGAGAGAGAGAGAGAATCCCAAGCAGGCATCATGCTCTCAGTGCAGAGCTCCATGTGGGGCTCCATCTCACAAAGTGTGAGATCATGACTTGATCCCAAATCAAGAGTCAGATGCTTAACCGAGCCACCCAGGCACCTGGGGTCCTAGTATATTTAAACTTTACTAAAGTTGACTCCTTCGAGGTAAAGCTGCAACAGCACACGCCTAGCTGCCAAGATGCCCGTGAGCAGCATGAACGTGGACTGCCCTATCTTCCCTACATTTCCCTGTGATCCAGAGAGCCACCGCTGTGGCCCGGCAGTCGGAGGGTTTGGTGAGGAGGCAGGTAGAGTTAGTAGCAGTAAGAGTTTGCTTATTAAAGGACCTGGTTTTTACTGTGAGGATTTCACAATGTATACAAACATCAAATCATTATGTTGCACACCTGAGACTAATATAACGTTATATGCCAATTATACCACAAGGATGATATTGATAAAGCCCCTCCCCCGAAATGATCTGGGACATTTTGCCCTAAGGTTGTGAGAAAAAGCTTGAGATTTAGAGTCACAAAGATGTGGAGTTCATAGCTTGTTTCCACCGCTGTGTTCTTAGAGATGTTTGTTCACCTCTGGCAACTTATAAATCAGGACAATAGCATCTGTTTTCACTACCTAAGGATTTTATAAGAACCAAATGCAAGGGTGCTTGGCTGGCTCAGTCTGTGGAACATGCAATTCTTGATCTCGGGGGTATAAGTTCAAGTCTCATGTTGGATGTAGAGATTACTTAAACATTTTTTAAATCTAAGAGTCGGGGCACCTGGGTGGCTCAGTCAGTTGAGCATCCGACTTCGGCTCAGGTCATGAGCTCACTGCTCATGGGTTCGAGCCCCGCATCGGGCTCTGTGCTGACAGCTCTGAGCCTGGAACCTGCTTGGGGTTCTGTGTCTCCCTCTCTCTCTGACCCTCTCATACTCAATGCTCTGTCTCTCTCTGTTTCTCAATAATAAATAAATGCTAAAAAATAAATAAAGGGGAGCCTGGGTGGCTCATTTGGTTAAGCATCTGACTTCAGCTCAGGTCATGATCTCACGGTTCGTGGGTTCAAGCCCCACATCGGGTTCTGTGCTGACACCTCAGAGCCTGGAGCCTGTTTCAGATTCTGTATCTCCCTTTCTCTCTCTGCCCCTCCCTTGTTCACGGTCTGTCTCTCTCTGTCTCAAAAATAAATAAACATTAAAACAATCAACCTATCAAGAAATCAATAAATCTAAGAGTTAAATGATCAACAAATATAGAAACATGTTAGAAAATGCCACATACCATAACAGTATTAAGGCACTACCTAAATGAATGCCTTGGAGTGAGGCTTTGTGCAAGCAACCTTTTCAGAGGGAGATGCTTGCTGACAGCCTCCCAGAAGGAGCTGAAGGAACTGAATTAGAAGGTGCCACACTCCAATAAGGCAGCGATTAATGAGCACCCTAAATAAAAACTCTGGAAAAGGGGGCGCCAGCCTGACTAATTCAATAAAGCACCATCATTCTTGATCTTGGGGTCATGAATTGTAGCCCCATGCTGGCTATGGAGTTTACTTAAAAACAAAGCAAAACAGGGGTGCCTGTGGCTCAGTCGGATAAGTGTCAGCTTTGGCTTAGGTCATGATCTCACAGTTCATGGGTTTGAGCTCTGCATCAGGCTCGGTGCTGACAGCTCAGAGCCTGCAGCCTGCTTCAGATTCTGTGTCTCCCTCTCTCTCTGTCCCTCCCTCCCTCCCTCTCTCTCAAAAATAAATAAAACATTTAAAAAATTTTTAAACAAACAAAAAAACCTCCAGAAAGGTACTATATTTAATATAATTTCTTTTAAACCTGTTACGTGCCTTCCCTTGAAGTTTCTCAATAAGAAATACTACACTTTAACCAAAATTAAAACTGCAGAACTAAAAGTTTAGCTGATGCTTAGAGTGACTAGCGTGCCCATTTATTTATTAAAAAACTAAAATATAGGGGCGCTGCCTGGGTGGCTCAGTCGGTTGAGCCTCCAACTTCTGCTCAGGTCACGATCTCATGGTGCGTGGGTTCGAGCCTCGCATGGCCTGTCTCCTGTCAGCACAGAGCCCGCTTCAGACCCTCTGTCCCCGGCTCTCTCTGCCCCCCTCCCCATTCACTCATGTTCCTCTCTCAAAAATAAATAAACATTAAAAAAAAAAACAACTCAAAAACCGAGATTGGAAGTAGTACAGGTCCCTTTAGACCTTACCTAAATAGAAAGAACCAACGTGTAAAATTTAGTGACACTTCAAAAATATTAGCTACAGGAATAATGGTATGATCTGTAACAAGCCACTTAGGCTAATTTCTCTGCAAGATGCAGTTAGCAAGTATGGGTAAGGTTGCTGAATATTTTTGGGGGGGTTGCTGGTTGACTCAATTGGTGGAGCATGCACTCTTGATCTTGGGGTTATGAGTTCAAGCCCCACATTGGGTGCAGAGATTTCTTAAAAATAAAAAAATCTTGGGGTGCCTGGGTGGCTCCATCGGTTAAGCATCCAACTTCGGCTCAGGTCATGATCACATGGTTCGTGGGATCAAGCCCCACGTCTGGCTCTGTGCTAACAGCTCAGAGCCTGGAGCCTGCTTCAGATTCTGTGTCTCTCTCTCTCCGACCCTCCCCTGCTCACATACACACTCTCTCTCTCTTTCAGAAATAAATAAAACATTAAAAATAAACAAATAAATAAATAAAAATTTAAAAAATCATAAAAATATATTTTCCAACTTTATTTTTCAACCCATTAAAAGGTTTGACAGGCCAAGCCTCAGTTTCCTTGAAGTAAGTATTATGAGCTGTTACCAGGCAAAGGTCAAGGTTTCTGTCCTGGGGATTACAAACTTTAATAATGTGCCTCTAGCTTTGAGAAGATTTTTTTTTTTAAATAAGGAAATTAAGACATAGAGCTTTTAATTTTATTACAAGATTAATTTTTGTCTTTGAATATTTATCCTATCATGTAAGTGCTATAGGGCCTTCAATTTGCCTGCAACTGTTAATAACAGCAGAGCAAACCAATTTTCAACATACATGAAGTTGCTTAAGATAATTTTTTTAAACCTATGCTTCCATTTTCTAACTGTCCTATCTTCAAAAAATGCCACATCCTTTAAAGAGCATGAACAAAACATAAAGGTAGATTTCCATCCCTGCAGGATTTATTTCACTTCACTAAAACCTAATATATAGATTTCATGTAGACCATTCTAAAATTATTAGAGTGCCTATATTAAAATGTAACCAGTTTTTTTCATTGAAAAAACTTTTTTTCTCCATGATATGCTGTATTTTACAAGATTTGCAACAACATTTTCAAAAGAATTTTCCTCTCGGTATGAATAGTCTTTTTTCTTCTTAATTACGCAATAAACGGAACTATGTGAAAGAAGCCATCGGTTTAAAAATACATGGCAATATAAAAGGCTTTTGTTTCCCCTTGCTTTGAGGAAATTCAATATAGGAGTTTAGCAAGGTTGGCAGGGATGATCCTAGAGAGAAAAGGAGGCCCCTTTGCCTCACTTTCAAGTGTTTGAAACTGAACTTGTATTCTAGGCCATTTATTATGCGGGGTGGTTACGTCCTTGAATTAGAATATTTTGCATAAAGAGGGGACCCCCCTATTAAATTTTTTTTTTTAAATGTTTGTGTGTTTTTGAGAGAGAAAGACAGAGCGTGAGGGGAGGAGGGGCAGAGAGAGAGAGGGAGACACACAATCCCAAGCAGGCTCCAGGCTCTGGGCCGTCAGCACAGAGGCTGCTGCGCGACTCGAACTCAGGAAGCGTTAGATCATGACCTGAACTGAAGTCGGACACTTAATTGACTGAGCCACCTGAGTGTCCCGAAAGACACCCCCCTTTTTAATGAAATGTTTCTTAATACATATGGGCAATAAAAATAAGGCGGTAGCAATTCTTACCACACTGTGACATCATTCTGCCTGTGCCAGATTCTTCATGTCCCAAAACACAAGGGTCCTCAGTGATTGGCTGTGAGGTCATTCCAGGCCTTTGTTGGCAATGACAGCATGAAAGAAAAATACAAAGTGAGTACGGTTATTTTGATGCACTCTTTGTTAATAAATGATGTGCAGATTACCTGTCTAGATCTGGTTCACTGTCGAATGGACTCATCATTTTGGACTATTGTGCCAATACGTTATATCAACATAAAGGAGCCAGAAAACTATCATGATTTAGAACAGAGTATAGTGGTTTAATTTTTAAAAATCGAAGGCATCCTTTTTTTTTTTTTTTTTTGTATACACAGGAGTCTGTGTCATTGTGGTGAGGGACAGAAGCAGAAAAATGTTCACCTTAAGCATGGAAGGCTGACCTACAGCTTGCCCCGTTCCCATAAGGATCAAAGGCATGCAGGTTGCTACATTTTTACAGGGTCTCATGACTGACTGTATATCTCACCAATACTTACATGGAACTGAATGATCAACAGCAGAAAAATCTTGTGAAAGTAGGTTTTTTAAAAATTTTTTTAAAATGTTTTATTTATTTCTAGGAGAGAGAGAGAGACAGCGTGAGCAGGGGAGGGTCAGAGAGAGAGACACACACAGACCGAAATTGGCTCCAGGCTCTGAGCTGACAGTCAGCACAGAGCCCGACGCGGGGCTCGAACCCACGAACCGGGAGATCATGACCTAAGAGAAAGTCGGATGCTTAACTGACTAAACCACCCAGGTGCCCCATTGTAAAAGTAGTTTTACAAGCAGAATTTCAAAGAAGACATTTATAAGCTAATATCTCCCCTCCCGCCTTGAGTACTAAGCGTATAACCACCAGCTTCATACAACAGAAGTTCGGTTCTTTCTGCCCACAGGTCCCATCCCCACGCTACTTAAGTAATCCTACTAAGATGCACCATATAGCGTCTCAAGGAGTCTTGTGCTCTAGGACCTTATAACAACTGTATCTAAAACTATAACATTAACCAAATTACTCTGTTAGTAACAAGAGGCTCAGAAGTTGGTGTTTGTGTGAGCGTTCTGACTTTTGCCAAGGGAGACGAAATCAACCCAGCTGAATATTTAATAATGCACGATAGACGGGTGACTTTTCTCTCTTGAAAAGTTATCAGGGGTCCCTGCTGCTCTAGCCTCAGAAGAGTGAGTTGGTATACCAGGTGTGCTAACATACATCATTAGCATCTTATAAAAAAAATCCTAATAGTGGTCAACTATACTCACACACACCCCCTCCAAAAAAAAAAAACAACAAAACAAAACCAGAAACAAAACCAAAAACAAACTAACAGGACATTATCAGAATGGAGACCTCTCTTTTAAATATGTGAAGACATTTCACATGGATGAATATGCAGAATTTTCCATCAAGTGTCCTGAAATCTCCCAATCAGGGGTGTGGAATGCCTTTTTTTTTTTTTTTTTAAAGCATATTGATGTTGATCCTAAAAATACTCATACCCTTGATGGGAATGGGAATCCTGCAAACTTACAAACAGAATATGATACCTTTGAAAAGAAAATAAAAGAAGCTGGTGGCATAGACCTACTGGAGGTAATGATTCTCATAATAGGCACACACAAGGCAAGTGCCCTGTTCACAGCAGGAGGAAGAAGCCAGTCATTTGTAGAATCACCTCTGAACTACATTTGTATATGATGAAGATGCTACTTTATTTATTTTTTTTAATTTCAGAGGAAGAGAGCATAAATGGGGGAGAGCGGCAGAGGGAGAGAGAAAGAGAATCCCAAGTGGGCTCCATGCTCAGTGCAGAGCCCAATGTGGGGCTTGATCCTATGACCCTGGGATCATGGACTGAGCCAAAACCAAGGGTCCGACACTTAACCACCCAAACCACCCGGGCGCTCCCAAAGATGATACTTCAGAACTAGGAGTTAAAACTGTGAATTACTAAAAGTTTACAGCATGTGCACAATTCACCTGTAGGTCCACTGTAGAGTATGGTAGAAGGAAATTGAAGAATATTGAAGCAAAGTCTTACTTAAGTGAACAGAATATATTTTATAAGAAGCAGGTGAATTTCAGCAATATAATAAAACATTGGGAATTAAATTTTTTTAATGTTTATTTATTTTTGAGAGAGAAATAGAGTACAACCAGGGGTGGGGCAGAGAGAGAGGGAGACACAGAATCCAAAGCAAGCTTCAGGCTCTGAGCTGTCAGCAGAGAGCCCGATGCAGGGCTTCAACCCATGAACCCTGAGATCATGACCCGAGCTGAAGTCAGACACTTAACCAACTGAGCCACCCAGGGGCTCCTTAATATTGCCATTTTTAAAAGTTCAATATCTATATATTAAACATTCCAAGGCACCTGGGTGGGTCAGCTGGTTAACCATCTGACTCTTGATTTCTACTCAGGTCATGATCTCACAGTTTTGAGAGCTCAAGCTCTGCATCGGGCTCTGTGCTGACAGCTCGGAGCCTAGAGCTTGCTTCGGATTCTATGTCTTCCCTTTGCTCTCTCTGCCTCTCTCTCTCAAAAAATAAGTAAACATTCCATATTTGGAATGCATCTATTTTACACTAGGGGCTTAGAAGAAGTACTTGGCTCTCACAACTGATAAGCTGTTTATTATAAACATTTTATTTACAAACTTCATTATAAGAGTCTATAAAACAGCACAGAAATTAGACATCTGCTTGTGTAGAAAATTTTAAAAGTCATTTTAAAGGTGGAGATTCTGCATTTCAAGTACCATTTCCAGACATGACCCCAGAGGCATAATATACAAAGATTTATGTCTTTTAATCATATAAAGATACTTTAAGACTTTCAGGTATTAATTGATTATACCGAAAATTTTAATTTTGGAATAATCTCTCTACATTTTATCTGCATTATATACAAGCTTTTCTGCACATGACTGCCTTAGTCATCTTTCTACAGTGTCATCTGGACATCAAAAGTCCTACTGTATATTGTTGGTAAAGGAAATTTGAAGAGAAGACAGTGCTTAAAACTACAGTTTATGTCCTTTTGAAAAAATAAGTATAGTGCATATTTTTGACATACCTTCTTCTTTAGCAATTTTTCAAGAAATGTGCCTTTATTTTTATTTAATGAGTTGGGTTCAGGCCCTTAATATAAACATCTTGGCTATTATGAGATGTATACCAATAGCACATTAAGGAAATTCTTTTGAAGAGAATTTTCTCATTATTGTTAAACTTCCCAAATGATTAACTTTATTCCATATATATATATATAAATGACATATATATATAAATGTCTAAAAGGCTAATATATAAAGTGCATATAAAAGGAATAACTATAAACTATTTTAGATTGCCATAGCAACTTGCATCTTAAATTGCAAATAAAACTATACTGTTTTCTACCTTTTTTACATTTAATTCAAATAAAGCTCATATAAACAAGAAGGTAGCAGGAAGATCTTCGTGTGCTATGGAGTCGGAGTCCGCATTCCCTTCCTGGAAATGCTACACTCTACCACTAGAGGGCACCATGTACACACGGGGCAGAGAGAGAGCCAAAGGCCTCTTTCTCGTTCTTGATTTGTTTCACTGAAGGAATAACCCAGCCAGTGAGGGTGTGAGTGGAGATCAGAGCTGGTGGGTAGGTTACTACAGCACTTCTGTGCAATTTCAAACTTTTTTATGATGTCCCTAGACCTTTCAGCCCCCCAGGGGAACCTGAGTTCAGCCTTGATTCAGATGGGAACACAGAATGTAATTACGATGGAATGATTGTTTTTAGAGGTCGCTGGCAATATGAACAAAGAGTTAAGAGCTGAGGAGGGTCTTTTGTGTTTGAAACAGTCCATTCTAACAACCAGACCAAGCCCCAGTCCATTCCCAGCTGTAACAATTTCTAAGTAACTTTGTACAAACTAAGAGGGGGAATCAAGTTCCACATACAAATACTTGGTTGCAAGAATACATTCATACTTTTTATGCATCGTTTATGCATGTTTCAGAGTTTCACTCCAGGGGTGTGTGGCTGGCTCAATGATAGAACATCTGACTCCTGACCTCAAGGTGGTGAGTTCAAGACCCACACTGAGTACAGAGATTACTTTTATTAAAAAAAGATGAAAAAAGTTACATTTGTTATATTAATATTCATTTTTAATATTTATATTAATGTTTGTTTTTAAGAATGTAATGTTAACATAATCCAAACTAACCTAATTAATTTTATATTTAGCTAGCAAAGAACAAATAGCAATAGCTGACGTGATTGCAGAAATTTGCAGTATTGTGAATATTTGATTCAATATTTATTTGAGATGCTCCTAAAAGCAGAATTGCAGTGTCTCAAGATAAGATTGCCCAGCTTTTCAAAGGCAGAATTTTAGATGGGGGGAAATCCATATTGATGAATTGTTCAAAATATGAAAGAAAATCTATGAGAAGAAGCTGACACATAAGAAAGAGTCTGTTTTTCTGTTTGTAAGTAACATTACGAGTGATGCCTGCAATTGAAGTAGCTTTCGAGATCATAAACTAAAAACAATGGGACCTTGTCACGTGCAGGTAATTCACATTGTCATGTCTATAAGGAAGACGAATCCTGCTCCAAAGACAAATGAAGAGATCTTACCTCTGGGTCTCTTGAAGAGGCAGCAAAAAATTGAATTTAACTGCATGACACAGAGCAAATGGTCATAAACGTCTTCCTTAGCAAACACCAACTTTTCCTTTCCTTTTCCCCAATATCAGCGACTCTAACTTCTTCAATCCTTCTCTTTAAAACACTCACCATTCCAGCCTTCCTTCTCAATTTGCTAGCTCCTGATTCTTGTCTTTTCTTGGTTCCTCATGCCTGCTTCCGTAGAATATTCCGGGCTCTTCAATGTTACATCTTTCCCATTTCCTCTCTCAGCCAAAGAAGTCCCTTGGAAAGTGAAGGAAGAAGAAAGACTGTATTTCTATCCCCCACAGAGGAAGTGATGGGGACATCATACTGCCAAAAAGAGAAGGGAAAGAACAGGAAAGAAAGAAATTACTTCTGCTAAGAGATGCTTTGTGAAATCATGTTTGCTTTTGTTAGGTTTCATACCAGCCAAATTTGGCTTTACCTGGTCCAATCATTTTCTTAAAATCACAAATAGAATCAGAAACACTTTGACCTGGAAGGGATCAACAAATACAAATCTCACATTTTACAGATCAGAAGGCTGAGACAAAGAGAGTATTGGATTATCCAAAGTTCCTCCCTGATGAGAGAGCTCCATTTCTTTTTTTTTTTTTTAATGTTTTATTTATTTCTAGGAGAGAGAGAGACCGCGAACAGGGGTCAGAGAGAGAGGGAGTCACAGACTGAAACAGGCTCCAGGCTCTGAGCTGGCAGTCAGCACAGAGCCCGACGCGGGGCTCGAACCCACGAACCGCGAGATCATGACCTAAGCGAAAGACGGACGCTTAACCGACTAAGCCACCCAGGCGCCCCGAGAGCTCCATTTCTTAACCCAAATCCACTGACCCTGACCTCCTTTGTCCATTATAGCACACTGCTTTGAGCTCAGGTTTTAGTTTGAGGTTAGTTTTGTTTTGCGTTTTTTTCCCCTATATACGTTATATTGAGGTTTTCCTTCCCAGAAAAGCCAAACTCTGAAACAATCAATATTAAAGTACTATTAATTGCAAACCTTTTGTATATAAATGATAAACTGTAAACATCTCAGAAATACAGTGTGTATATTTTTATAAAAGTGATTTTGTGAATATTGGAAGTTTTAGAATATTGGAAAGCATAGGTAGGTAACATTATACTTGTTTATTTTCATTGGCTTTATTTTATTTTATTTTATTTTATTTTATTATTTTATTTTACAGTAAGTTCTGTGCCCAAAATAGGACTTGAACTCATAACTTCTATATCAAGAGCCACATGCTCTACTGATTGGTCCAGCCAGGTACACCTATACTTATTTATATAAAATAAAATACAACTATGGGGGTAGCTGGACAGCTCAGTCAGTTAAGCATCTAACTTTGGCTCAGGTCATGATCTCATGGTGTGGGTTCAAGCCCCAAGTCAGGCTCTGTGCTGACAGCTCAGAGCCTGGAGCCTGCTTCAGATTCTGTGTCTCCCTCTCTCTGCCCCTCCCTCACTAGTGCTCTGTCTCTGTCTCAAAAATAAATAAACCTTAAAAAATTTTTTTAGGGGCACCTGGGTGGCTCAGTCGGTTGAGCATCCGACTTCAGCTCAGGTCATGATCTCACAGTTTGTGGGTTCGAGCCCCGCGTCGGGCTCTGTGCTGACCCCTAGCTCAGAGCCTGGAGCCTGTCTTCGGATTCTGTGTCTCCCTCTCTCTCTGACCCTCCCCTGTTCATGCTCTCTCTCTCTCTCTCAGAAATATAAAACATTTAAAAGATTTAAAAAAAATAAAAAAATAAAATTTTTAAAAATAAAATACAACTATGAAATGTTTTAAAAATTGAGATTTGTCTAATCATCTCCACTTCTTTGATAGAAAACATAAAGAACTTTCTTTTTTCTCCTTTACCATTGACGACTCTCTTCTCTGATCAAGTACAACCCTTCACAAGATATACTAAATTCTGCCTAGAACACATTTTCTAGCAAAGCTATAGGAATACAAGCACGAGCAGGTCATTCTCTTGAGCACCTCTGTTTAATAAAACAATCTAGCCACGCCCACCTCATAATTATTGAAACCATCCCACCAACCAGAATGTCACACTCCTCATTAGCATTTTTTCCCTTAAGATTTTTATTGTTAAGTAATCTCTACACCCAATGTGGGGCTCGAGCTTACAACCCCAAGGTCAAGAGTTGCCTCCTCTTCCAACTGAGCCAAACAGGTGCCTCTCTTACATCTTTCAAGTAACTCCACCAAAAAATGTTTCACATTTTTCTTTCCCAGGAGGTTAAAAAAAAAAGTACTTCAACAATACTTCTTCTTTATGAAACACAAAATACATTCCATTTCTTTTTTATCAAATTATTGCTCCAGAGAGCATTAATCTTGACTTTCTTAGTGGCATACTTAATTAAGATGCTCACAGAAATAAACATTCATTGGGAGGATTCTGGATCATTTCACAAAAGGCAAGATGACCACTTTTACTTTTAAACAGATATAAAGGCTTGTCTGCTCTGGAAGGAGTATTATCACCTGCAAACAAAAAGTAAGATGGCATCATCGCTTTTTGTGTAATTAACAAAAAGAGAAAACAATCACATACGCAAAACAGCCCCAAGTATGTTTGTCTTTATCTGGGAGCCTTTGTAACCTTAGCTTGGCTTAAATTAAGGAAATGTGGGACACCTGGCTGGCTCAGTCGGAAGAGCATGTGACTCTTGATCTCAGGGTCATGAGTCTGAGCCGCATGTTGGGTGCAGATATTAATAAAAAGTAAACACTCCATGAGAGTGAGAACACTGAGAAATTTGCTAATGGGTTTACATTAATGAAAATGTATATTGGTATAACCTTGTCCAAACACAATTTGGCAGTGGATAGTAAAATCTTTATTTATAAAATTTAAAAAATTTCTTTTTTTTTTTTAAACTTTTTAATGTTTATTTATTTTTGAGATGGAGACAGAGAGAGCATGAGCAGGGGAGGGGCAGAGAGAGAGAGGGAGACACAGGATCTGAAACAGGCTCCAGGCTCTGAGCTGTCAGCACAGAGCCCAACATGGGGCTTGAACCCACGGACCATGAGATCATGACCTGAGTTGAAGTCTGACGCTTAACTGAATGAGCCACCCAGGCACCCCAAAATTTAAAAAACTTATAACATTTATTTTAAAAAATTAGTGTTTTTTGGGGCGCCTGGGTGGCTTAGTCGGTTGAGCGTCCGACTTTCACTTAGGTCATGATCTCGCGGTTCGTGGGTTCGAGCCCCGCGTCGGGCTCTGTGCTGACTGCCAGCTCAGAGCCTGGAGCCTGTTTCAGTCTGTGACTCCCTCTCTCTCTGACCCTCCCCTGCTCACGCTGTCTCTCTCTCTCTCTCTCCTAGAAATAAGTAAAACGTTAAAAAAAAAATTAGTGTTTTTATTTATTCCTTAAAAAAAATTTTTAGGGGCGCCTGGGTGGCTTAGTCGGTTAAGCGTCCGACTTTCGCTTAGGTCATGATCTCGCGGTTCGTGGGTTCGAGCCCCGCGTCGGGCTCTGTGCTGACAGCCAGCTCAGAGCCTGGAGCCTGTTTCAGTCTGTGACTCCCTCTCTCTCTGACCCTCCCCTGCTCACGCTGTCTCTCTCTCTCTCTCTCCTAGAAATAAGTAAAACGTTAAAAAAAAAAATTAGTGTTTTTATTTATTCCTTAAAAAAAATTTTTAGGGGCGCCTGGGTGGCTTAGTCGGTTAAGCGTTAAAATTAAAATTTTTAATGTTTTATTTATTTCTGAGAGAGAGAGAGACGGCGTGAGCGGGTGTGGGGGGTGGGGGGGGAGGGTCAGAGAGAGAGGAAGACACAGAATCCGAAACAGGATCCAGGCTCTGAGCCAGCTGTCAGCACAGAGCCTGATGTGGGACTTGAACCCACTAACTGGGAGATCATGATCTGAGCCGAAGTTGGATGCCCAACTGACTGAGCCACCCAGGCACCCCAACATTTATTTATTTTTGAGAGACAGACCACGAGCAGGGGATGGGTAGAGGGAGGGAGACACAGAATCCGAAGCAGACTCCAGGCTCCAAGCTGTCAGTACAAAGTCTGATGCGGGGCTTGAACCCATGAACCATGAGATCATGACCTGAACCAAAGTCAGAGGCTTAACCGACTGAGCCACCCAGGTGCCACTATTTATAAAATTTTTTTAATGTTTATTTTTTTCTGAGAGAGAGAGAGACAGCATGAGCAGGGGAGGGTCAGAGAGAGAGGAAGAGACAGCATCTGAAGCAGGCTCCAGGCTCTGAGCTGTCAGCATAGAGCCTGATGCTGGGCTGGACCTCACAAACTGCGAAATTGTGACCTGAGCCGAAGTCAGGCGCTTAACCGACTGAGCTGCCCAAGCGCCCCTAAAATTTTTAAACTAGAAACTAGTTGTGACTTCTATTGAACAATTTTTCTTTCAAGGATTTGCTTATGAAAATAATCGGAGTTAGGCAAAAAGCTTTATCAGTCATTACTTTAAATAACAAAAAGCTGAGGAACACCTAAATACCCAACAGGGTTATAAATTCATATGATATAAGAAAAGGATCAATACTATGCAGCTACCAAAAATATTGTTAAGCAAGAGCTAGGAGTATACAAAATTGTTTATGATGTATTTTAAGAAAAAAAAAGCAAACAAATACATGGAGAATCCATGTGAATAGGTTTTAAAAGCTGTAAAGAATATACAACAAAAAGTTCCTGATGATTCTCCTGGAATGGTAATCAAATACATAGCATTTGTTGTCTTCTATGATTTTCTGTACTTTCTAAAAAAAATTTTTTTAGTGTTTATTTTTGAGAGAGAGAGAGAGCAAGTGAGGAAGAGGCAGAGAGAGAGGGAGACACCGAATCCAAAGCAGGCTCCAGGCTCTGAGCTGTCAGCACAGAGCCTGACACGGGGCTTGAACTTACACCGTGAGATCATGACCTGAGCCAAAGTCAGACACTTAACTTCCTGAGCCACCCAGGCGCCCCGGTACTTTCTAAATTTTCTACAATAAACATGTAGTGCTTTTGTAATCAGGCTAAAATATTCTGGGGCACCTGGCTGGTGGAGTCAGGAGAGCCTGAGACTCTTGACCTTGGGGTTGTAAATTTGAGCCCCACAGTGAGTGCAGAGATTACTTAAAATAAGATCTTGAAAAAAAAATTCTTTGTTTTCTTTCTTTCTTTCTTTGTTTTTTAAGCCAGGCCTTTCTCAACTGACTGTCCAAACGTGACAATGACGCGTATTCAGGAGACAGTTTGCCACAGTGTTGCCATCGTGTTCCGATCACACTTGCTTGTCCCAGATGCGGGCAGACCACTTATCACCCTTGGCTCTCGAGCTCGGCGGAGCTTCCTTTGCTCCAGCAGCCCACAGTCCAAGGAGAAGCGCCTCAGCGGGCTGGCCCCGAGCCACGGAGCCTCCCCAAAGCCTGCCGGGGGACCAGAAAGGCCAATTCCCCACCAACAGGCAGACGGTGAAACTTCCTCCTGGCTCTTGTAAAGTCAGCCACATTGGTGCAGACACAGCTGAAACAAGGCAGGCGAATTCTGTCGGACCAGGCAAAATTAGTCCCCTCTCAATGGAGTCTTGTGCCAGGCCAGCTGGCGTCCGCCATGCCCTCGGCTGGTTCAAGGCAGAGCCACTAAGTGGGTAATGGGCAAAAAAGTGAGGCTGTGAATTGGGGACCTGGGCGACTCAGCTGGTGGGGAGGTGGGCTTCAGCTCCGTGAGTCTGAAACCGTACCCACGGGGCTGAGGAGGTTAAAACTGTCCCTGGCAAGGGGCGCCTGGGTGGCTTAGTCGGTTAAGCGTCCGACTTTCGCTTAGGTCATGATCTCGCGGTTCGTGGGTTCGAGCCCCGCGTCGGGCTCTGTGCTGACAGCTCAGAGCCTGGAGCCTGTTTCAGTCTGTGACTCCCTCTCTCTCTGACCCTCCCCTGCTCATGCTGTCTCTCTCTCTCTCTCTCTCTCTCTCTCCTAGAAATAAATAAAAACATTAAAAAAAAAAACTGTCCCTGGCAAGACTCCCACGGGCTCCCCCTTCTTCGCAGGAACGTGAACCTTATTTTTTGGGAGCAAACAGGAAAGCTCCAGGCAGCCGAGGCCAGTATGAGCTTGACCACTGACTCACACCTGCACAGATGGGGTGTCCAGTCACCCCCTACCTCACTGTAATGTTCAACTCTGCACCCAAACAGGGGCCTCGTTAATGTAACACAGGACACACAGACATGTCTCCTAAGTACCCCTGCACAACCTTACGCTGACCTTGACCTGCAATGATAAAGCTCCCCTTTCTGAATATTCATCTTAACCCTCAGTAAAAGAAATCCGCGCGCCCTCACTCCAGGAGTCATGGTTTGGGAACTTATGCTCCGCAACCTCTTTCATTTTCTGCAAATGAAGTCTCTTTTGGGTAACAACTCTGCCTGCTATAGTGTCTCTGTGTCACCTACCAAGGAGCAAACTCACGTTCGTTCAGTTCCGGATGCTGTGAGGAGGTAGGAAGAATTCCATACACAGTGAAGTGGGAAGGAGTCCTGGGTGCCAGTTGTGTCTCCCTTTTCCTCTCTCTGACTTCTAGCTCCTTCTTCTATAAAATAGTGGGGTGGGAGGTAGATAGGTTAAATGAGCTAAAAAGTTGCTTCCAGCTTTCAGAACCTTTATAATGATTTTTAATGAAGTTATACAGTATACATTTCGCTCGATACAAATTCACTAAGTGCCTAGCAAGCAGGACCAAGGTGAAAAACACATTGCGCAGCCACAGTACTCACAGTCCAAAGCACTGACAAATTTCCCAGCCCAGTATGTATAATAATTCACTACACCATTTATTTAGGAGAATATTTTTTACCAAGATTGAATTTTTTCCATTGCCAAGAAAGCTTCTTTTGTTTTCATTTTTTAAAATAGTTTATGTAGTTTTTGAGACAGAGAGCAGGGGAAGGGCAGAGAGAAAGAGAGAGAGAGAGAGAGAGAGAGAGAGAGAGAGAGAATCCCAAGCAGGCTCTGCACTGTAAGCAAAGAGCCCAATGTGGGGCTCGAACTCAAAAACTGGGAGATAGTGACCTGAGGTGATATCAAGAGTTAGACGTTTGACTGACTGAGCCACCCAGTGCCCCAACCAAGAAAGCTTCTTATCCTTTGTTAATAAAACAATGTACTGAGGGGCAACATAGGTTTGGGTAGAAGCTTGAGACAGAATCAGAGAGTTCCAGTTAAATCTGAACTTCCCTCATTTGCTAACAGGATGGCATTGGAAAAATTACTTAAATTCGGCTTCAGTTTCCTCACCTGTTAAATGGGAATAATAATAGTACCTATTTCCTATGGTAATTTTTAAAAAGATTTAATTTTTAAGTAATCTCTACACCCAATGTGGGGCTTGAACTCACAACCCCAAGGACAAGAATTGCACGTTCCCTAACAGAGCCAGCCAGGTGCTCCTTTCCTGGGATATGTACAGGGAGTAAATGACCTGAACCACATCAACTAAGTTCTCAGTAAATCATCATTATTTGTTGTTAATATAGAAAGTGTAAAAATAATTTTAATATGTTTAACAAAGCACAAAATCTTAGAATTTTAGATTGAAAGGGACTTTAGAAAGAATCAATTTCAGGGCATGTAGGTGGCTCAGTGGGTTACACATCCGACTCGATTTTGGCTCAGGTCATGATCTCAGGGTTCCTGTGTTCAAGCCTTGTATCCGGCTTTGCGCCGACAGCTCAGAGCCTGCTTAGGATTCTCTCTCCCCCTCTCCCTCTGCCCCTCCCCCACTCACGGATGCACACATGCTCTCTCGCTCTCTCTCAAAATAAATAAATAAATAAAAACGTTAAAAAAAAGAATCGATTTTGTTTCAATCTTTTCATGTTACATAAGGAAACTGTGAGTCAGAGGTTGAGTAGAGCCTTGGGATCCCTAAGAGCTATTTTATTTTCTTTATATATCCCAAGAGTTAATTAGAAAATGTAATGTGCTTTCCTGAACAAAAACTTTTTTTCTGAATCATGTGGAAATTATTTCGAGGATTTCTATTATTTTGACTCTTCTATGTGCTCTATTAAAATTTGACTTCATTGAAATTTGACTGTCATTTCTGAGTCTTTCCAAAAAGAATCTGGCATTTTAGCTAAATAGACCAACTGATCCTTGCCTCAGCTTCTTTGGAGAATCCACTGTGATTATTCCAAGTAAACTTATACTCTCCCTTTCTGTGTGTATGTGCCATGCAGGCTGTTTTCTCTTAGTTTTTCTGGCCACTTTTGGCTAGTTAGAAAAAAATACTTTCAACTTTAGAAACGCCAAGTTTGGGTCATTGACTGCAATTAGACAAATACCTTCTCTGGAAATCAAGACTCAGGTTATACGACATTGTCTGCAGGACAATAAGACAGAAGGAAAGAGAGAGAAGGCAAACTAACATTTTTATCCCACACTTTCCATATGCCCATGGACTCCCTTAATCTTCACAACAACCCATGAATTAGATATCACTATTCTCATCATAGGTGGAAAAGCTAAGCACCAGGGAGTAACTTGCCTGAAGTCACAGAGTTAGGAAATGGAGCTGAAGTTTGAATCCAGGCCCGTCTGCCTCCGTATTTTTTCCAGTAAATCAGCCACACTCTCTCCCACTCATGATCAACATGATATTCAAATTTAAAATTTTTTAAGGCTTTTATTTATTTTTTAGAAAGAGAATGAGAGAGAGAGAGAACCCGCATGAGCAGGGGAGGGGCACAGAGAGAGGGGGACAGAGGATCCAAGCAGACTCCGCACTGACAGCAGGGAGCCCGATGTGGGGCTTGAACTCACAAACAGTGAGATCATGACCTGAGCTGAAGTCAGACACTCAACCTACTGAGCCACCCGGGCGCCCTGTTATCTTCATGATAGTCAACAGATGGAGTACCTCTTGATGTTAAAACAAAACAAAACAACTCCCCACCCCAATTCCTACAAGATGGTATAGTCACACATTTGGAGAAAAGAAATCCATTATGCAATTCACTAAAAAGTGCGACGAATACCTAAGAGGTGTTACCAACGCATTGCGCTTCAATTGTTAAGACTCATCCCAAGTAAGGTGAGGCTTTAGTCCTTCCTAATAAGATTTTCTTGTATTGTGTGTAATGATTCTTGTATCACAGGGGCAGAGGAACTTAATGGATAAAGACAGAGAAGAACCGTATGGATTTTATTTCCATAAAAGCTTCTCTCGAAATCCAATCTCCTTGGAATTGATCAAGTCATTTTCCTGACCTTTTTGAGGTTAAAGGTTTTGTGTTCTCTTTCACCTCCCTCCTCTGGCTTTTTTTCAAGCATTTTCCCAGTCCACTTACAGTTCAGAACAGATGTGGATGCTGGCCTGCTCCCAGAGTCTTGCTGCTAAATCATGACTCCACCATTCCCCGCAGACTGAGTAGTGCCAAAGCAGAAAGTGACTTCAACCCACAGCAGAATCTGTGTTGCTGCCAATCCAGTTGAAGCCCAAAGGAAGCAATTCTATTTGCAGCGCCTTTTTTTTTTTTTTAACTTCCAGTTTATGCTGAGAAGGTATAGTACATCACATCACATTTTGGTGATTTACACAGTACATCCTAAGGCCCGTCTCTTCTGTATTGCTCCCAACATTACATTTGTCAATTCCCCAGACTGGAAGAGCTGGGGCGGGGGCGGGGGCGGGGGGGCGGTAGGGGGGAATAGAAAAGAGGAAAATCTTCAGCAAATCGGAGATAAGCAGATTAATGGGAACTCAACAAGAAAATAAAATAGCTCTCTAAAAAAAAAAAAACAAAACCCTGACAACCTGCAAATCATTTAAAATATGAATAATGTTAGAGAATATGACATCGGAGATTAACGCAAGATAACTTCGGGTTACTCATGTGTAATAATGTCAGCAGTCATTTCCCCATCACTGATGGGTACAGGAAACTGTATTATGCTGATACAGAGCAGATGAGATGGGAACAGCTGTCAGTAACGTAGCCATTTATGAAGGCAAAACCACTCCAGAAGAATGCCCCCCCGCCTCCCTTCCTCCCCCCCCCGCCCCCATCTCAAAAAACTGCAGCTTGCAGCAAACAGCAGAACACAAAGAGACCAAAAAGTTCTATTACAACTTTTGATTCCAGCACCAGTTGCAGAGTATACATCATGGAAAGGCCTGGACTGGGTACAGCTTAACATCTTCAATACAGATGAAGGAGAAGTACCAAGTGGTGTCCTGATGACAAATCTGGGGCCTTAAAGAACCCGTCCCTTCAGGGCTCTCCTCTTTATTTGCTTGAGTATATTTAGGGGCTTTTTTTTGGGGTTTTGTTTTGTTTTTAAATTTTCTTAATCTTTATTTATTTTTGGGAGACAGAGAGAGACAGAGCGTGAGCAGGGGAGGGGCACAGAGAAAGGGAGACAGAGAATCTGAAGAGAATCCAGGCTCGAGCTGCCAGCACAGAGCCCGACGTGGGGCTGGAATCATGGGGCGAGATCATGACCAACCTGAGCCGAAGTAAGATGCTTAACTGACTGAGCCACCCAGGCGCCCCCGAATATATTTAGGTTTTGAGAGCTGTGACATTTCCCCAAACAGGGTTACTGACTTCATTCATTTATTCTTTCACCAAATATGTTGAGCTCCTCTAGGGTCGGGCATTGTCTGAGGCACTGGAATGGGGTGTTGAATCAGAAAGAGCAGGTGCCGGCTGGGAGGAAGCATTCATTCCAAAGTCATACTTCTGTTCCCAACAAGCCCATTTTAAGCATGTGCTCTACTGCTAGGAATTTACCCAAGGGACACAGGAGTGCTGACGCATAGGGGCACATGGACCCCAATGTTCATAGCAGCACTCTCCACAATAGCCAAACATGAAAAGAGCCTAAGTGTCCATCAACGGACGAATGGATCAAGAAGATGTGGTTTATCTATACCATGGAATACTTCATGGCAATGAGAAACAATGAAATCTGGCCATGTGTAGCAACATGGATGGACCTTGAGGGTGTTATGCTGAGCAAAATAAGTCAGGCAGAGAAGGACAGATACCATATGTTTGCACGTATAGGAGGATTAGGAGGAACTTAACGGAGGACCGTGGGGGAGAAGAAGGGGGGAAATGGTGGGGGAGAGGGAGGGAGGCAAACCATGAGAGACTCTTGAATGCTGAGAACAAACTGAGGACTGATGGTTGTGGGGGGGAGGGGGGAGATGGGCGTGGAGGAGGGCACTTGTGGGGATGAGCACTGGGTGTTATATGGAAACCAACTTGACAATAAACTATTTTTAAAAAATAAAAACATTAAAAAAATAATAAAATAAGCATGTGCTCTATATTTCATCACTGTAGAAAACACTCAGCCCCTCAAAGTGTAGCCAGGGCTCAGGGGTGCAGTGGCCCGAGGGCACCCAAACAGACCAGGTTGGGCCACTTGCTGCTGATACAACCCAAAGGCAGAGAGACTGTTGGTGAAACAGGAAAGGAATTTATTTCAGGGAGGCCAACACTGGCAAGACAGTGGATTAGTGCCTCAAGACTATCATCTCGGAAATGTCAAAAACGCGTCTAGGTTTATATAAGGAAAATCTGGGGCAAAGGTCGGTGGGTACGTGCAAGTGGGCAGTAAAAGTCAGTTCCATCATTGTCTTGGGGGTGACCACGCGGGGGTCTTGCCAGCTCAGGGCAGTCCCTGCGGCTGGAGGAGGCTGTTTCGGTTCCCATTATGGGATGCTTTGCCCTCAGGGTCTTCTGCTGGAGTTAAGAGATAACTTAATATCTCTTATTAAGTTAGAAAGGGAAAGAAGAACTCAATTAGAAAGTACCCGAGGTCGAAATGGAGGTAGGTGACATCCTCTTTCAAAGTGGTATTTCAAAGTGAATTACGTTCGACTGGCAATCATTTTTCTTCTTCAAGGGATCCCTTCATTTTTTTAGCCGCAAAATATATGGTCTCAAATGGTAGTAAAAACAAGCAACGAGACTCTGAACTTTTAGAAAGGTCATTTATTGCTATAAACAGTGCTAGGCTTGCCCTATCCTGAAATCTTCACAGAAAAAGCGCATAAGAATCCAAAGGGATAGTATACATATACCATTTGCACGTATGGGGCATTTGGGTCTTTGATTTTAAAAACTCTCAAGAACTGACTTTTAGTTTCTATTAACATTTGATGAACTTTGACAAAGCAGCACATTCAATGAATGATCTGTCTTAAGAGGAAGCCAAAGCAAAAGGAAGAGAGAATAAAATACACAGAAGGGGAGCAGAATGTGCTCCCCAAAATATACCTGTTTGGCATAAAGATTATTTTAGGCTGATTAGTTTTGAGAAGGTGCATATACAGGAGTTGAAACTGCCTTTTCTGCCCTTTTCCGAGGGACATTTACATTTATAAGGAACATCTCCATTTAGAAGAGTGTTTCCCATGTGGACACTAATTTGACAATAAACTATTTGTAAAAAAAAATAAATAAATAAAAATAAAATGCAGGGAAAAAAAAAAAAAGAAGAGTGTTTCCCTCTCTGTATCAAGAAGAGAAAAATGCACCTAAATCTCTAGAAACTCTTATCAATGGAGAAGGTCTGACTTAAATCTGTAACAACCGTATCCTGTTTATTGTGCTTTTCCTGGTAACCTCCCCTAATTAGCTTCTCTGCCCAGCCCAAACATTCTTCTTTTGCCATTAGCTAGTTGAAGATGGTAGTCAAGGTGGTGACTGGAGCCATTTCAGGGAGTTACCCAGTCTTCCTGGGTCTCTCCCTTGTATACAGAAGATATATGTGTTATTACACTTCTGTTTATTTTTCTGTTGTTAATCTGTCTTTTATTACAAGAGGGTGTGGGAGTAAAAATAATTTTCCCTCTACCCTTCTAGGTTCTTGGCTTATATCCCCCCCCCCAAACCCCCCCCCTTCTTAAATACCATCTTTAGCTAAGGACAAAAGATAGATATAGGAGGCAGGGATCCAATTAATTATGGGAGTCTACAAGGAAAGGTATGGTAAACAAGGGTAGGACTGTTATGCATGTTCAAAGGATATCTTCTTCAGAGATGAATGTACAAAAGGACACACCTTCACAAATGGCAATTTCCCTTATAAATGTAAATGCCCCTTACAAAAGGGTAACTTCTACTCATTTTCAGAGCTTATCCTGTGTCTATTTCTGTTTTTTTTTTAATTTTTTTTAACGTTTTATTTATTTCTTTTTTAAATATTTTTATTTATTTCTAGGAGAGAGAGAGAGAGAGACAGAGAGATCAGGAGAGGGTCAGAGAGAGAGGGAGTCACAGACTGAAACAGGCTCCAGGCTCTGAGCTGGCAGTCAGCACAGAGCCCGACGCGGGGCTCGAACCCACGAACCGCGAGATCACGACCTAAGCGAAAGTCGGACGCTTAACCGACTAAGCCACCCAGGCGCCCCTGTGTCTGCTATTTCTTAAAAATACCAGCTGAAGATCATGTTTATGCCAAAGAGGCATGTTTTATTTTATTTTTTAAATGTTTATTTTGAAAGAGAGAGAGTGAGTGAGAGTGAGTGTACTAAAGGGGAGGGGCATAGAGGGAGAGAGAGAATCTTAAGCAGACTCTACTCTGAGTGCGACATGGGACTTGATCTTGTGACCCTGGGAGCATGACGTGAGACAAATTCAAGAGTTGGAAGCTCAACCGACTGAGCCACCCAGGTGCCCCTAAAGAGGCATATTTACTCCTCTTCAGGGGTTTGGCCAAGAACCTAGAAGATTAGGGTTTTTTTCTTATTTTTCCTATTTTCCTTACCCTACACAAACCTCTTATAAATGATACTGGACTAAAGCGTACCTTTTTATAGATGGGAAAACTAAGATTTCTAAGAGGTAAATTAACTGCTTCCAAAACGCAGCATTATAGCAAGGGAAGGAGGTCCTGGGGTCGGAGGATGCTGGGAGCCGCACTGGCCTCGCTGGATGACAGTCACAGTGAGGAAATGGCAGCGTTTGCACGGCTCCTGCCATGAGAAACGAAAACTGGTATCTCCTTCTGCTACTACTGGCTCATGTTGGAAGTGAGCCTGCTGGTATTGACCAGGCCTCACAGTATTCCAGATCAGACCGATAGTCCCCACACAGATTGCTCATAAGGAAAGGCATATTCCTGCCTTTTCCAAAGAGATTTCAGATGAAAACATTGTGGATGATTGTTAAAAGGTTCTTCCTAAGGGCCTTGCAGATCCAAGACGTACATAATAAAGGGAGCTTGAGTCTAGCCCTGAGACAAAGAGCCTAATTTAGAGTTAAGGGCAGATATCCACCCCCACCCAATTATTTCTGCCTAGAGCACTGGCTGCCCCCCACCTCAAGGCATTTGTTATCAAGTATTTGGAGTGACTTATTCTGGCCTTGAGTATGCTGACTGCTCCCTGTGGAGGAA